ATAGCCAGGGGGGGTTGGGGGGTTCAAAAGAATCCCCTTTTTTGCAGGGAAAAGGTCCTCTCTGGTGAAATTTAATTAAGGTACATGAAAGTTTCATGGTAAAAGGTCCACTTTTTCATAAAAAGAACCCCCCTTTTGAAATTTCTGGCTACGGGCCTGGGTACTATAATATTTTAATTGCCTGCCTACTAATAAATTGCTCTCTCACTCCTTGGATACTGGTTTCAATTGGTTTAACTTGGGTATCACACCCTACATTGGACTTGAGAGAGAGAGAGAGAGAGAGAGAGAGAGAGAGAGTATATAGGACTTTGAAGGTTCGTGTAGCAGTACAAATGAATAATATTCTTATGTTCTCAAATCAAACTAATAATGTTTCTCAATCAAACCTTAAAGAAGACAAAAACCAATTCCACTGTAAGGTTATCAGATGTATAAATATCCCCTATACTTTATCTTAGCCACAATAAATGCGGTTTCCTTTGACGTTAATGAATATGTAGTACAGCCCAGAGGTGTCAAATCATCAGTGTGAGTACGGACAATATGTCAGCCGAAAGCAAGGACAAGTCCACTTCCCAATAATAAACTTAATTAAGGGCTGGCAAAATTAATACATTTAGTTAACGAGTGATGGCTCTCTATACACAGTTTCATGAGAGTAGTAGCTAAATTTTAGGGTCAAGCATTAATTGTTTTAACTTTATTTAGGGAAAGGGCATAGATTTTGAATCTACAATGCATGGGGTGATTTTAGCAAGAGCACAAAAAAAAAGTATTATGCTTTTTGCTGAAGCCAACTGCATATTTTTCCTACTTACCAAACCAATACCCGATGCATTTCCTCCATTTGAAAAAATAAGATGAGGTGAAAGTTAAGATTTCCTCAAAATTACAGTCAGTCACACTCATTAGTCAACTTTTCAATTTTGTTTGGCCTACTGTAAGCATTTTTTGTGTATAAGCAGTCCATGTCTATATGTCACATGGCAGAACCAACAACAACATTCAATTATCAGACTGAGTTATTGTAAATGTATCCTTATTTATTTTATTTTATTTTATTTTTCTTTCAAACTTTGCACTTGGAAGTTGTTTTGATGTCAGAAATAAACAAAATTCAACTAGTTGTGAGACTCTATCTTGGTTCACCAAATGCAGCTACATTTATCACACAAAGGATCCTTTTAACCCAGCACACTAGGATCTTCTCAAAGAAAAGTACAATGATATTTAAAATTATGAAATTATCAGTAAAAAACACAGGATTTTCTTCCCAGTTCCAACATAGCTAATGGCCTGTGTATGTCAGCATCTGCTACTGCGTACAACCACGCAATCGAAGCCACAAGTGACTCATGCGCAACCTCTGCAAGAAAATATATTTACATTCAAGAACGTACCTGAAGAACTGACCAAATCTGGCCTGTAGAGCTCCCGCCCCTGGCAAAAGGACATTTCCTGTGGAAAAAAAGAACACATTTATGAACCACGCCGGGCCTAGATTAACAAAAACAACATTCTTCAATTAAACATCATTATAATTATAATTGTTATGTATTCATCAATGGACGGTGCACACTACACCTGGCACGGACGGTGGTGCTGGGAATATTTTACGATCAAATATTGTGACAAAAGTTTAAAGGATGATGACAATGGAGCACGCCACCTCCACAAGTCCCCATTCACATTCTCAGTCAGTTTAAATCTGATCTTACTACCGTACATGTAGTACTCTAAACTGACTTTCCAAACCAAGTTTAAAGATTTGTCTACTATAGCCACAGGAACAGATGTGAGGTAGATTTCAGATGGTTACCAGCAACTTTAAAGTTAATTTTTAAAAAATTAATAATTTCACCACACTGAAAATAAAATTAAAATGATTGTTTTTTCATTAGACCAAACTTTTTTTCTACTTGACTTAATGCAAGTGAAAAATTAAAAGCAATCCTTGCATTTTCACTGTGCTTAAAAATATGCAAATCTTGAGCAGGGCAATAATTTTTATTATTTTAAAATTATGTAACATGCCCTAAAGTTACAGATGGGGNATGATTAATTAACTATTTTTTAAAGATTTCACTTGATTTTTTATGTGTTTACCCCAAGGACTTGCTGTAATTTATGTCTCAATTGAAAGATATTGATTAAAATTTATTTTGAGTGTTATATGCAAAAAATAAAAAATTCCGTCCGTAATGCTAATTTTCACATTTTTCAAGTTTAATGCGCTATAAAATCATGAATTCAAAAAATACAGATAAATCTTGTACAAATTATTATCCCCTGAAGTCTCTTCTTTCAGAAAATGCAACTTTTGATTGATTTTTATACATTTGAAAATTTTATGCCCAGGACACAAATACCACGGAATGACCCAGATGTATAAAAGAGATAACGAGCAGCTTTATGACAAAACTTTTTTATCCTTGAACTGTTCCTTTGAAGTTAATTCAATTTGACTGTTAAAAAGTGCCTCTGCTACAGCCATTTAAGTTTTTTTCAGTCTGACAAACCTGATTAGAGATTAAACCATTTGTCTTCTACATGCATAAACTTGAATTCACAACTTTTGTCATTTAGTTGGCAAGTCGACTTTTTGTTTCTGTACATGTAACTCTTGAACTTAATAAAAAAAATTGCTTAAAAAACAAATACTGAAAATATTTTTGGGACATGCTAGTTCAAAAAAATAAAAATGGAAACAATTATGGTAAAATCAAAATCAAAATATAAAAAATTATATGACTCACAAGAAGTCAAGGATGTTGAGGAGGCTGGGGCTATCTTGTATTCACAAACAAAAAGTAATACATTTTGCTTAATATTTCCATAACTGTTTTATATAACTTTTTAATTACTGTTAATTTATTTCCATATTAGAAAGTACAGTACTATAAAGCAGGAAAAATAATGGGGCAAGTCAGAATGGTGCAAATATTACTCAAATTTGAAAATGTGAGCATCACTGACTGTGAAAACTCAAGAGAATCACTTTTTATCTTTGGAATCACCCAAAAATTGCTAGGTGTGGCAATGTCCAGTAATCAATAAATTGATCACCCTACCCACACAAATGTCTCCAATAGCCCTGGGGTCCAGTTTTGTTTCTTCTAACAAAGCCTTGAACACTGTAGATAACATGTCTTCTGGTCTTGTGTCCTGGACAGAAGAAAAGAAGAAAGACATTACGATGCCAGCAATCTTAAAAGCGGGGTTCTTTCTTTTTCACGAAAAATTTGATTTAAATATATTACACCTTTGGCTGTCCCAGCTTGAGAAATGGCAAATTAAAACACCCAGTTTAAATTTTGATTCAGAGTTGAACTTTAACAGATGTTTACTGGCCTGTGGGTTCATTATCATATGATATATAACAGTTGCTCCCAGTAAACTTGGTTGGTTTCCACCAACAGTGAATTCTTTTGCAATGAACTTCAGACTTACAGGGAACCCCTTTTATAAATATTTAATTTCTTTCATATCAATGAGCCCTTTGGATCAGTTGACTTTCATGCACTCAAGGATAAAGGTCACACACATACAGTGTACATGTACTGTTTGTTAAGGCAATTATCTTCACTCAAAATTGAAATAAGCTGTGCTGGGACTTCTTTCAGTGAATTAGACAATACACATACCTGTCCTGTAAGGACAGTTGTGAAAAATACCACAATGTAAAATAATACATGCGTGCTGAAAAGGGGGGGGGGGGGTCCTCAATTCTTAGTTATATTTAACCGACTGAGTGTCAATTTCACAGCATACGTGCTTGGTACATGTACGCGATGTACTGTACATGTATACATACAGTGATACGATCTCAAGGAGGTTTACTATGCTTAACAGGAGATCTATATTGGTCCATTTCGGTCCATTTCGCTCCATTTCTATCCATTTCTATCCATTTCTACATTTTAAAGGACCGCAGTGTATATGTGTTGTACAGTTGAAGTCAGAAGTCAGAACCTCATGAACACCCAGATAAAATTGCACCAACAAGCTACCTTTAACATTCCACGCTTAGCCTTCCCGATCGGGGTTCTTCGGGCAGCCAAAATAACGATGTCATCGTCGCTCTCCACCCCTGGTCGGCTTGCCATGCAAGGCTCTGTACGGACTTCGACTACCGCACTGCTCTGGCTAAGTTGACCAAAAAATACTTTACGACAATCTGTCATTTCTAACCGTTTTTTATTCTAAACCCAGAAAAGGACTAGACCTTGTCGCAAGCGAGACAGTTACAAGTGGACCCGAAGGTCAAAAAGTAGGTTCAATGCGGAGATAAACTTGCCCCGTGATAATGTTGACCTGTGTGAAGTTTGAGCTCAGGGTTTCCCAGACTCGTTTTCGCGTAATCGGTACCGAGGCTGGGAATCCCACCTCACCAAGACGGTCCCATCAAGACAGACGACTTTTCCGTAAATTTTGCGTAGCTGATCAGAGCAAAAATTCACTGATGATAATTTCAAAAACTCACATATATTTATATTTATTTTAGGAAACTATATGTACGACATCCTAGATAACTTTTTTTGTCCGTTTGCTGGATTTCTAGGCCCTTAAGCGTTTTAAAAAGGTGAACGACCAGTTTACTACCAGTATGATGAATGGGACGTGTACCACAACTTACACGTACTGGTTTAATGCAGCGTCTGATGCCTACTAAGATATTTCTAACAGTTAGAACTGACAGTAGAACTGATTAAAAGAACAGAACACTCACGAGACTAACATTGTCTAATTCTTTTATTTATTTAATAAGCTTTTCCATATTTTAAGAATTAGAGGGCCTATTAATTATTATTATTATTATTATTATTATTATTATTATTATTATTATTATTATTATTATTATTATATCCATGTTTATATTTTTACAAACACTATAATACGTGATAACATATGAGGCCGCCCGGCCCATGCGCCTTTTCAAGCGTCATGTGCATTGCCAAACACTTCGCTATTTTATTAGATCGTCGTCTTGATTTATAATAAGACTTACCATACATTTATTTGTCCATCTACTAGGCCTACGTCTATTCATTGCATTTTGACTTTTTTTCATTTGATTTCAAATATGGTTAAGCAGATGGGGCCTTAACATGTGCAGTGTGGGCGATCAAAACAACAGCGTTGCGGCTGGCATTGAGGTCATTCAGGGCCGTAGCCTGAGCAAAATGCCAGGGGGGGCAGTAAGCGGACACGAGGGGGCGAAGCCCCCGAGGGGGGAGGGGGGGTCCCCCTCCCAGTGTGGAAAATTCTAAATCCCAGGGGGGGGCAGCTGCCCCCCCTGCCCCCCCGGAGGCTACGGCCCTGTCATTCCTTTCTAAAATCTCACTTTCCCAGCTAATACCCAAAGCATTACCTGGAAATATAGGCGCATAAAATATCTGATCCTCTCAAAACCAGTGTCGGTAGAGCTTATTAACCAATTTATGAAATTTGTCTAGCCTAACTGACAATATTGCGTTCCCTTTGGATATAGGGGGCCTATATACGTGAAGATAAAACAGAAGAACGCCGTCGGAAATATTTAACAGAAGTCGTATTAGTTTTCTGTTGGTAAACTACGAATGATTTCGTTGTCGAACAATAAAACGGTGTTAACGAGGCAAAGATTTTTATAGTCTGGTTATTATCTCTATTCATCTTCACTGCATCCCTCTGTCTGAATTTTAAACATGTTGAGCAGCTTAATTGTTCTGAACACGCAAGTTCAAGAGGACAGTCCAGATTTTGATAACAGAAAGAAAGATAGAGATAAAAAGCTGATACCCTGAACAAATTTTGAGTGGTGATGCAATGCTTTTCAACCCCGCTGAGAATCGTCACTATCACATCGCGTACTAGGCAAGAGCGGTGTCGCGTCTGATACTGTGTAATGCGATCTGACACACACCTTGAAAACGGGTAGTGTGGTCTGATCTACCGGTGAATTCAGGATCATTCGGTGCCGAGTCTGGTAGTTGGGTAGGCCTGATAATCAAGCAATCAATTATCAAAGAAGGCAGATCTTGAGTAGTTATAATGCCTGGTCTAATTTTTAATTGTGAAATTTGATGTTAATAAAATGATACCAGGAGCATATCATTCCACAGTCATTTATCTCCCCCAAAGTATTGGTTCAGTAGGGGTGACACTTTTATTGTGCAGTGTGTGGAAGTCAAAATCTAAGGCGGGCCTTTCTGTGCAAATCAACTGGAACCGGACCCTGCATCGACTACACTGGCTCTAAATTTAAAGTTTGCGTCAGAATTTCTTTTCTTTTGTTTATGGGAGTATAAAATCTTGAAACTATCTCAAATCACGCGACAGGGGCTTCATACCTCCTCCATATTGCATAATATATGGATGAATTGATGAAGTAACTTGAAATATACAATTTATGAGGTTGATTAATGGTCGCTTTTATTTAATGCCAGACCGAAATCAGAATTAATACGAACTTTAACTAATTGACCATGAGACACAAATGTAAATCTGCAATTGATTTCCAAGAGTACTGAAATATGACATGGTCAAACTATAATGATAATAAGTAAGCGATAAAAGAATATTTGTGGGGTTGCCGAAAGACTATTTAAACACACATCTTTTTTTCTAAACCGGCAGTAATATTAATGTCCCCGGTTTGCAATCACGTTAACGAATTCAAGTATATTTAGTTTATGCAAGATTTACGAATATTGATAAAAAAAATCGCATTAAAATGACCCCATTAACCTTTAAAGTTGAGTGCCTCATTGTTTTAATTAAATGCTATACGTTCATGGCAAAATCAATTAAATGTGCTTTTGAAGTAGAACTCGTTGCTAAAATAGTCACAAATCGTTCAAAACACATAGCTGATTGATATACAAACTCACACTTATGATGATCATCTTTTTTATGGACAGTGGAAGTAAGTGGCAAGCAACACCATGTCATCCTAGGGGCTCGTGTGACCCTACTGACCATTCTAATTACGTTCTTTTAGATCTCACTTCTTAAAATTACATCAACGCAGATCAGATAAAAGCATTTAAGAATATTTGATTGGTCTATTAAACTTTTATTTTCTCTTAATTGCTTTTCTCAATTTGCGCGCCGTCACAAGATCTGAGCATCGCCCCGAAGGATCTTTGGCAGCGTCAGGCGACAGTTTTGGTCCTACTCCGTGTCGGTCTCTTCGGCATTGAACAAGGCTTTAAACAGTGACTACAACCCTCCTAACATTACCATCCTAACGCACAAACAACGCCCGCGCTGAACAATAAAAATCCGCGACTGAGTTGGGCTGCAGAGCACGTAGACGAACTTGGCGTGTAGGAAGGAAGCGGGATGGTATAAAACGATGGAGCGTCTCGGTCTTGGGGACAGAGCGGTTTTGATCTTGGAAGTCATCTCTGAGAACGGTGCCTGACAGATCTGAGGAGGAATTCGTGGCCATGAAGTGCTTCATTGCAGTATTACTGTTGACATACGTGTCGGGTAAGTCCTGGGTTTTTTCTGGCCTTTTCTTTTCTTGCTTTGAATGATTCTTTTGCTTTCTCTGCACGCTTAGCATGAAGAAAAATCGTAAATCATTAGGGGGGAATTGTCAGTTGAATTTGCCAGGTTTTCTTAAACCATTTGTTAGCATCACTGGGTATATAAGAAGTACTGTTTATTTGTAATGTTACGGCCGAACGTATTTATCAAGGGACAGTTGAAATGTAGAATTTTGCTACTTAATAATTGCAAAATGTAATTTCTAGATTTGGCAAAAAAAAAAGTAAAGTTATTTACAAAAACACACACACATGTGAACATACATGTTGATGATTAGGCAATAATCGATTTATTCACATTCAATATTTTTCAAATGGTTTCAATTTACATCTTCAACAACCTTTCTTTTTCTTCCTTTGCTTGCCCTCTCTCTATCCCTCTTTTTCTTTCTCTCTCTTTCTTTCTCTGATTTTCTCTGTATCTCTCTTTCTTTCTCTCTTGTTGGAGTAATGGCGAATAAAGCTCTTTAGTCTTACCGACACAAACGTGTTTTGCATTTTTTTTTGCTTGTCATATATATATATATATATATATCTAACTTTTTCAGCTGGACACGTGGGTTACGGTTCCAACAACAACAACAACAACAACAACAACAACAACAACAATAACAACAACAACAATGGGCAAACAGTCAAAGGCAAAATTGGCCCCTGCAACTCACTGGCGGATGTTGGCAACTTTATGACGTCTCCAACTCTGTGTTACTACCAGGTTTGTGAGGCCAGGCTGGCTCACGATGTTTCATACACCACCAAACGCTGTGCACCTGGATCCCGTTTTGATGCTGGCGCCGAGGAACCTGGATGCGCCATCTTTGACAGCAGGTGCCTTCTTCCCACCCAGGCCCCCACACAAGCCACCACGAAAGGCAGTGGCGGTGGTTATGGTAACGGTGGCGGCAGTGGAGGAAATGGCGGTGGTAGCGGAGGTGGTTATGGAATGGGCGGCGGCAGTGGCGGCAGTGGCGGCAGTGGCGGAAATGGCGGTGGTAGCGGAGGTGGTTATGGAATTGGCGGCGGCAGTGGCGGCAGTGGCGGCAGTGGCGGAAATGGCGGTGGTAGCGGAGGTGGTTACGGTAACGGTGGCGGCAGCGGCGGAAATGGTAACGGTGGTGGCAACGGCAACATGCAAATGATGATGCAGAAAATGATGCAGATGATGATGATGATGGCAAACGCTGACTAGAATAGGTATGGCGTCAACCTGCCTCGTTCCCTTAAATAAGCTTAAATTCCTTTCACTTTTGTCCAATGAAACCTTTCAGCATAGTTGTCTCGACTTTTGCTTCATTTATTATTATCTAAGAAAGGTGAAAATCATACGTTTTATAACAAATTTTGATGTAATTAATTCTCTCAGACGACTTTAGGTGAATTCTCTAATAGGCAACGTCTAAAGCTGATGATGTATTTCATCTCAAACACCCATACCTTCTTTTGCAAGAACCAAAGCCCCCCCGCCCCCTCCTCACCTTATCAGACCCCTTTCAGTTGAAAAACGAACTAGAAAATTAATTGGCTTTAAACCTAAAATGTGAAATCGACCCGCCGTCTACAATTCAAAATGGATTTATCTCTTCTTTTCTTTAATATTTTCTGTTTCATATTTCAGTAAACAAGGGGGGCGCAATATGATGTGTCTCGGGACAACACTGGGTGTCGACGAGTTTTAACAACGCAGCGGCACTAGTCTCAGATACAACATACGGGCATTTACATACAGATATCACGTGATATTTAATTACACTGGTCTAGAAACTGAAACAAGTACCTGTGTAAGTAAAGACAAACAATACAATGCCAAATAAGATAATGGAATATCATTCAAGAGAAGAACATTATATCGAAGGAAATTGTTTTGTAGTATGTCTAAAAAACGAAAGATATAGAAAACAAAAATTTTAAAATCCCTCAGCACTGTTGTCTCTTTAGATGCAAACCCATATTGAAAATTTCCTATTTGTTATGGTAAGTGCCGTTAGTTTACCTTAATAAAGTTTGCTTTAATAAACGATTTGCCAAAAACAAACTATTCGTCATGCGTTGTATCTTTTCTCCACAGTCACGTTTGAAATGGCAAAGACTACTCACAACTAAAACCGCCAATTTGTGAACCCCTTTGGCTGTCACTGTGCTCTATATATAACGTCACAGGTGAAGTCAAACGTAAACTCAGTGTAAAACAAAATGAAAATAACAGCATATGAAATCATCGAAGTAGGAACATTCCGGGAAGGCTTATAAAACAAAAGCAACGTTACTTGAATAAATTCAGTAGCTTTCCCGTTATAGGGCCACGTCATACCACCTGTAAACTGCAACCAGTAAGAAAAAAATGGATCTTCCCGGCGGATTTATTTGCCAAATGTATTTTTTTCAAAATTGGTTTTGTCGCTTGAATGCTTGAATTGCTTGAATGGAAAGTGCTTCAGCTTATCCATATTTAAAGTTTTTTTAACGATTCCCTTTTCTAATGGGATTGCTAAAACTAAAACCGTCCCATTGTGTTCTTCAACGCCATTGGCGAAGCCAAACTTAATTTCAGTATAAAACAAAAGCATAGTAAACAAGGCAGCAAAGCTGTCAAATGTACAGACAAAAAACAGGAAATAACTATGCACAAAATAGGCTACTGTCAATTCTGATGCAAAAATACATTATGTTAAACTGCAAATTCAACATCATATTTTAATTATCTTCAACAGGTAATATCAATGTAATTAAAATATGTGACAAGTTTACACTTTGAAAATGTATAACTTCCAGAAAAAGAAGTCACTTAGACTGCTTTTCCAACTCAGACTGCATTTTAGTCCTGTATTTCTTTTTTGAAAGTTTGGCAATCATAAGTAACATGGTTTTCCCATAATGGTCATCATGGCAGCAGCACCCAAAATTGTGTTTTCTTCTATTCTGATGCCATATTACATAATGGTTAACAGCATAATGACCGTCAATTTTTAATAATAAAATATACGTATCATGGATTTTCAGAAAATGTGACTAGCATGGGTCTTCAAGCCCGTGGAACTTCAAAGTCACACCTTGAAAATGCCAATATGTGAAAAATTAAATTTTCACAAAATAACTGTTTAACTGGCAGTAAGAATTACCAAACAGACTGTATTTCCTACTGAAGCTGTATTTTAGTCCCATGTTTCTTTCCTGTAAGTTTGAGAACAGTAAATGACATGGTTTTTCTTAAATGGTCATCATGGGAGCAGTGCCCAAAATAGTTTTTTTTTTTTAAAATTTTGATGCAATATTACATAATGTTTAACAGCATAATGACCATCAACTTTAATAATAAAATATTAGTATTATGGATATTCAGAAAATGTGACTAGCAAAGGTCTTCAGGCCCATGGAACTTCAAAGTCACATCTTGAAAATGCCAAAATGTAAACGAGACAGCACTGTTCTGAAATGTTTTTTTTTTCCATTTTTAACAATTTTTAACATAAAACAAAATTATCAGTTTTCTGCCGTTTTTATATGATCAACTAAGAAAATTGATGAGATGGGAAAAATATCAACAGAGCAGTGTTAAATGTCCAATCTCTTCCATTCTGAGATTCTGAACATAGTGAATGATTGAATCTGACAAACTGCAATGATATGAGTTTATTTCCATTTTTGAAACTTTATTACACAATACACGATAACAAGTTTACCATCATTTTTACAAAATCAACTAATAATGTTGTAAAGATGCAGGAAATGTCAAACAAACACTTTTACGTATCTTATTAGTTTAATAATGAGACTGTTAACATGCCTAAGAATTGAATCTGAGGAAATGTGAAAAAAATGCTGAAAAGTGAAAAAACAGCATAACTTCTACAATAATGGCCCGATCATGCTGATTTTCGAACTTGACCTGCGTTTTATGAATATTCATCAGCTCTGTAAATATAAAGCCAAAAAGTAAAACTGCCTTCCACTTATCGTGTTTACAAGGAAAGTGCACGGCGCCGGCATCGGCATCGGCATCGCCATCGCCATCGCCATCGGCGACGACAGACGCAGGTGATGGCAATATGTACAGACACATCTGTACATATTTACTGTACTGTTTGAGAACAGTAAGTGACATGGTTTTTCTTAAATGGTCATCATGGGAGCAGTGCCCAAAATAGGTTTTTTTCAAATTTTGATGCAATATTACATAATGTTTAACAGCATAATGACCATCAACTTTAATAATAAAATATTAGTATTATGGATATTCAGAAAATGTGACTAGCAAAGGTCTTCAGGCCCATGGAACTTCAAAGTCACAACTTGAAAATGCCAAAATGTAAACGAGACAGCACTGTTCTGAAATGTTTTTTTTTTCCATTTTTAACAATTTTTAACATAAAACAAAATTGACAGTTTTCTGCCTTTTTTATATGATCAACTAAGAAAATTGATGAGATGGGAAAAATATCAACAGAGCAGTGTTAAATGTCCAATCTTTTCCATTCTGAGATTCTGAACATAGTGAAAGATTGAATCTGACAAACTGCAATGATATGAGTTTATTTCCATTTTTGACACTTTATTACACAATACACGATAACAAGTTTACCATCATTTTTACATAATCAACTAACAATGTTGTAAAGATGCAGGAAATGTCAAACAAACACTTTTACATATCTTATTACTTAAATAATAAGGCTATTAACATGTCTAAGAATTAAATCTGAGGAAATCTGAAGAAATGTGAAAAAACAGCATAACTTCTAAAATAATGCCCCGATTACGCTGATTTTCGAACTCAACCTGCGTTTTAGTAAGACTGACCATTCCTGTGAGTTTAATGACAATTGGGCTTTCTGTTTTTCTTATATTGTGTTTACAGTGTTGCATATATGCTGAACAATGAAAAAACCGCATAACTACTAAAATAGTGGCCCGATCATGCTGATTTTCGAACTTGACCTGCGTTTTAGTAAGATTGATTACTCCTGTGACAACAGGCCTGACGGTTTTCCTTAAAATGTGTTTACAAGGTTGCATATATGCTGAAAAGTGGAAAAACAGCATAACTTCTACAATAATGGCCCCATCATGCTGATTTTCGAACTTGACCTGCGTTTTATGAATATTCATCAGCTCTGTAAATATAAAGCCAAAAAGTAAAACTGCCTTCCACTTATCGTGTTTACAAGGAAAGTGCACGGCGCCGGCGCCGGCGACGGCATCGGCATCGGCATCGGCGACGACAGACGCAGGTGATGGCAATATGTAAAGACACATCTGTGTCTGTACATAAAAAAGTAATCTATCTAGAAACGCTGAGTGTAAGTCCTCGTGTACATGATGAAGTTTAACAATGTTGATGATAATACTATGAGCTCGCCGACTGGCGTTGCGTGGGATGAAATTCATATTTACGGCTCACGGACTATTTATTACCATGACAGATATCTACATGTACAGCCAAACTGGCCCTCTCTGTGGGAAAGTAAAAAGTTTCCATTTGATCCAATAGTTGCCAACGAAGCTTCTGTGGCTCCGTGGTACATGTAGCTACGCTGTCTTGAAAATAACCCAGCATTAATTTGCGGGTTCGAAATCCCAATTTTCCAGTGTGATGTTTTTAGCTCGAAATAATTTTTTAAAAGTGCGTTTGATCACTATAAGAAGAAAGTCGTATGTACGGAGGGTGGGCGGGTCAGTCACGGCGCAGTCGCTGGGTTTATCTACAAGAAGTTTTTTTCTAAAGTCGCATTGCCGCTGTTGCTTTACCTAACCACGCATTTTGTTTTTTTATATGCCCCCCCCCCCTTTGGCCTTGCTTATCGCAATATGCTAATTTACAATGTATTTATTGTGAACTTTAGAATCTTATATGAACAACTGTTATCTCTTTAAAATGTGGACTTTTATTAAAAATAACTAGCACAGTATTTTAGACGCATCGATATCACTACTGGGAAATGTCAACATTTAATTTTATAACAATTCATAAAAAATCAAATCCACTCAGGTTTGATTTCTGACTAGAGATGTTTTACAGTCCAAAATATCACATCGTTTACGAGAGGTAGGCCTACAAGCACTCCCTATGTGCTCATTGCGACAATGACTGGGTCGCAGATGATGGCTACATATATTGTATACCGTAAGTCTTATTTTATACGTCCATAAAAACGGAAAGCCCCAACTTTTATCTATCATTTTGGTAAATTACCAAAACCCCATCCCTGCATTCCAAATCCAATGCATCCCGTTAATCAATGCCAGTGAAATACTTACAGAGCCGTAGCCTGAGCAAAATGCCAGGGGGGGCAGTAAGCGGACACGAAGGGGCGCTGCCCCCCCCCCCCTGCCCCCCGGAGGCTACGGCCCTGACTTACGACCCATAAAATTCTCACTGCTGTTGATTGTGGCTAGGCTAAGCATGGACTTTGCCTATGCGTTAAAAATGAGGTCAAGGTCATATCGAGATTTCTTACCGCACAAGACCCCACAAGCCGGCAGAAATGGCATAGCATGACAGCTGATAGTACAATACAGAGATTGAGTGATGGCCAAAGTGGTAGCACTGACATCTCTCACTGCCGTTGTTCTCACGGCTGCTGGAAGACTCCTCTACAGACGATGGTTTCATACGCCGGCAAATTATGTTAGGGAGTTAAACAGGTGTGTATTTTATAGGGCCTACTGTCGTTACTGCACTGCATCCTTTGGGGGGTGTAGGCGGGGGGGGAGGGGGGGGGCGATATTCCAAATGTTCATTGGTCCTAAAAATCGTATGCACGCGCCTCTTATGAACTTTATTTTATTTCTAGTAGGGCCTACACTATAGCCTTATCGTTATTATGTCCAAGATTCATGCATTACTGAACTCTAGGACCAATGGACTTTGGACTGCCGCTACGGCTCCGTAGGCCTATCATGACTATTATACTGACAGACTGTACCTTGGATTGTTACATGTGCCCCTAGTTATAGGCCTATAGCAGTCAGGCTAGTGACAGGATATACGATACAGAATATGCTGAAGAACCAGGCTAGGCTAGTGAATTCCCCCCA